ATTAATTAAACGTTTATGAAACCGATATAAAACGTCTTTTTTACTGTAAAAGATCCATTTTAAAACGTTTACTTACAAATTTTGCTAACATTTTTACAACATCTATATAACCCATTTTTATAATAATATGCGAACGTGGCGATAGTGGCAAAGGAAATAAACAGACCTATCTGTGAGAAAAGTAGCAGATGAATTTAATATTAATTTTATGACTTTCCAATATTAACTAGAATAACTAATTAAAGAAAAAATATTTGTATTAATATATCTTTTAATTTTATATTATAAAATAAATATTCCTTGTGAAGTATTTCGTGTTTGATTTCATTGTAAGCTTGAATTTGCTTACACACACACACACACACACACACACACACATACACACACACGCCACGCACACGCCACGCACACGCCACGCACACGCACGCACGCACGCACGCACGCACACACGCGCACACACACATACGCACGCACACACATACGCACGCACGCACGCACGCACGCACACATATATATTTCAAGTAAAATTCTAAATGTATCAATTTGCCCCACAATGGAGTAAGTTGTTACAATTTATCTACTGATAGAAAATTTTAATTTTCAGTATTTAAAAACATAGATACAAATCAGAAAAAATTGACTATCTAGTTAAAGATGTACTTGTGAAGCAATGCATAGATATTTATTGATTTAAACGTATACATTATTAGTACGGAAAAAAATTGCTAATCACAAATTGTAACAACTGTTCCCTATATGATCGAAAAATTATTTAAATATGACTGCAAATTTTCACGTAAATAGCTAATGAAAGGGCGTTTTAGAAAAACGCTGATTGGTCTTTCTCAATAAGACGAATATTATAATTAGAGCGCATAGCTGCAAATACAGGATATACCAAAAAAACCGCTATTTTATTTATGCGTTTTTGTCATAAGACAAATTTTCAAGTCTGTTGATTGGCTATAGGATAGAGAGATCCGAGGACCTCTGTCCTGCACACATTTGTACGACAAAGAAAAACGCACAGATGAAATAGCGGCCATAGAGTACCTCAAGTAAGAGCTAGTATGGACAGAGCGAATAAGGCAAACTTGGAAATGAATTTGTGCAATAATCTGCCACACGTCCAGGCATTGTAATTTGACAAATTCATGTCTTTATTTCATTAAAATGATATATAATTCTAATGCGATCCTTTATCATTCACTTATTCTTTTCATTTATATTTTATCTTATAAAACAACGATTTTAAAACGTTTATACAACATAGTTATTTAACCGGTTCTTAAAAAATGTTTTTAAAATAACCTTAAATGGAGGTTTAAAGCAAAAATAATCATTCCTTTTAACATTTTATAAACGTTATTGTTCTACTTGAATATATATAAAAATATTACATGAATGGATTGTTTGTAAATATACACGCAGATCACAGTTGGCTTCGGTTTTTGTTTGGAAATTAAAAATTTTTCACCACATCTCTAATAGTCCGGTATGCGGAAAAAATTTTCGACTAATTTTTTTTGACTAGTTTTTTGAAAGATATCTCGGCAAAAAAAGGAACAAATATGATGATCTTTCTTGAGAGAGAGCATCAATCTATATATCATAGCATATATGAAAATGATATATATATATA